ACTGTACTGTAGACAGGTAATTTGGCGCTGCCACGTGAAGTCTGAAAAGCATGCCGCTTCATGAATGTGTCCCCTACCCCACCCCACCCAATGGAGCATCACTTCTCCTGAAGCTGATCACCATGAGGCATGAAGAATTGATGGCGCATTGCCAGGTCCAAGCCGAGTTGCAGCGGATCGATTGCATCGAAGCGTTTTGACAGATCTGGAAGACATGCTGCAAAGCTAGCTTCTGATGATCGATGACGGTGAGGGTGTGCTCAGGGACGGCGTCAACTTTCGTACGTGACTTTTTGTGCGAATTCGGGAATGGTAGGAAGGGCATTCGTGTTGGAAACGCATGTGTGGTCTTCCTTTTGATCTTACATTGCTACGGCTTCTGGGCTTACGTAGCACCAACAGTTTTTGAACATTAAACTTCTAAAAGTATAGTTGCAAAGTGAGCTACCAGAATCCTCCTGAAAAGCAGGGATATTTTACAAAGGCGAAGCTGGTGACAGCAGATAGTTGGTCTTTCTGTGAAAACGACGGATATTTTTCCTAGGACGTCCGCACGTGTAAGAGCCTATCTGACGAACATGTGCCGATAATATGACTGACGTCTTCTAACACATTAATGCTGAGGCGCGCGTGCTGTGTTGCACACACACACACACACAGTACCCCGTTTGCTCAAAGGAATGTAGTGTAGATCTTTAAATTGAAGGGCTTAGTTTGAAAGCTCAGATACAATACGCATTGAGGCTGTGTCCATGGTAAGACCACATTAAAAGTTTCGCATATTTTTCACTTGGCCAATCCTCGCCGTAGCCGTATTTCCCATGAGGAGTACGCGCAATTGGCGAGGCGCTCGAGGCAGGCACAGTTGCCTCCAACCCGGCTATGTCGTGTAGATGATCGATGTCTGACAAGACAAGTCGACCGCAGGCGCCAATTTCAAGCCCATCTGACGGTCAGCAGCCTGGTGGAATCCAACTCACACGGTACGCTGGTATTGAAAGCGTCAGTGAGAGAGCCAGCAGTCTGTCTTTCAGCCGTTTTTTGCGTGGCTGGTATTGCCGCAAAGGAAAGGATTTTCCCACGGCCGAAAGGGTGAGCGATATTGGTGGTAACACCGTGCTCACGCTCATGGGCGGAGCTCTGTGCCTCTTTGTGGAGACTCATCTCCCTGCGTTTGTCTCGCTCCCGACGTGGCGCTCAAATCTACCAGCACGTTACCAAGAACACTATGACACGAAAACTTATGTTTTTTAGGAGTCACCAAAAGAAAAAGTTCAGAAAGGTCATCGGACCTAGTAAATGGCTGCAAGCTTTAACCCTGCTGGCGCATCATGTTCATCGCGTTTTGTGCTTCTTTGTGTGACACAGTTTCATGCCCGGGTAAGCAGTAGTGCTGCAGCAGTTCATGTTCTGATTTTTCACAACTCACGTCAAAATAGCATAACCGCTGCAATGAATCAAAGTTCAGAAATGACGATGGAATGCATGTGCAGCACATAACAAGTCTAATGTACAAACATAAACGCATTTCCCATGACGTTAACGATCACTGACACCTATTCGATCTTTAACGTAGGTGGCTTAGAGAAACCGCTACTTGACACGAAACCTTGCCATCGTTTGAGATGGAAACAAAGGATGCCAGGAGTCAAAACATGCTGTTCGCACCAACGTCACTCATAAACGTACCTCATAGTGGTGGCGCGTTACCCTTCCATAGCCAAACATTGATTGGAAATCAACTTAATTTCATCGATGGTGATGTCCACCAGGCCTCTGCGACTCTTGCGCTCTGAGTTTATATTGGTTTCGGACTATCACAACTCGTGTGATTACAATTTCAGCGTAATCGTACATCAATAGCCAGAAAGGTTGAAAAACAAAGCTACAATCATATCTATAAACAGGCGATATAGAATGGGTTACATCTTTCAATATACACTGCGGGAGATGATTCCATGCTTTTGTTGGGTCCTGTCCATGGCTTGGTATACACCACCATGAAAGCTCCCACCGGCACATACGTGGCCCAAAAGGTTGCTGATGCTGATGTCAAAAAGTGTTGGCGGTCATCGGCGCTGAACGAGGAATGCAGTCTTAGCACTAACCGCTTCTGATTTTGTGCCACTGGAGATGAAGTGGACGAGCAAAAGTGCACAGTTCTGTGCTATCATTCTTAAGCGTGTTGTACCAGGGTATGCACCACGTGCTTGGGCCCTGTGGTTGTGAAGCGAGCCATCTGCAGGCTGGCCTTACATAGAGCTTTGGGGGTCCTTACCACTGATGTGCCAGTGCCAGCAGGTAGTATGGTACTCAGATGCGTGATCCGTTCATCATGACTTCGTATCCGTCGTCTAAGCGATCTGTGCAGCGCACGACAGGATCCAATAAGGTTTCACGGATGCTGGCCTATCATGTCCATGGTGAGTGACCACACCGTGCAAAATGCCACATCATCTACCACACGCATTCCTTATCTTTAAATCACAAATATTCAGCCATCATTCGGTGCGGTAGCGCCCTGGACAGAAGAGACAAATGCCGGAAACCAGAAAGCAGGCATGGTTGCCCCTGGCGCAGTTTCTTCTCTCAGTACCTTCCCAGCTCCTCACATAGCATTTAGATGCCATGCGAAGGCTGACCGCTTGCCCGTGCACATTCAGCACATCACCATCGCCCTGCTTCCCAGGCTCCGCCGCCCTGGCTCGCTGGCCATGGCCGGGCGTGCCTCGCGACAGTGGTGAGCTCTCATTAAATGCAAATGAGAAAATCGTAAATAATTGTCGCCGGTCGGGTTTGATGCGGTTTGGAAACGACAGATGTCAAATTATTCAATTTATCTGTGATCTAGCCGGGGGGCGCTCGTATTCAAATCACGTCCACTCAATTAAAATGTCGCACTCATCCGCCCTGCGTTAACGTCAGCGCGACACGTAAAGTGTCGTTTTCCTGGTTACGTGAGCAGCCGTTTTTATACACAGATAACTTGATGCAGTCAGTTGTATAGCAATTAGCGGGATCAAGCCTTTGAAGGCTCGCGTGGCGCCGATCCTATCTCCGCGGATACGCCTGTTAGAGATGGCATGCAGCAGTTTGCGCTGCGCTATCGGAAAAGTTCACACCCGAGTCCTTTGTGCGCATGAAGATTTTGTTTGCACTGGTTATCAAGCGCGGCCGTTTAAACGGCCAGGAAGATCAACAGTGGCGTGAGAAAGTTGATACAACTGCGATAAGGCAGCTCTGACCGCCGTGATAACTCCGCTGGGAACCTCTCGCTTCGCCGACCTCGGTTACGTGGCGGTCTTCATGACGCATGTGGGCGCTGAAAAGCATCAGATTTCATTTCACGAAACTATGGCATCAGATGACTGAATCTGAATCATTCGCATGGAGACTAGCACTTCTCCTCCGCTGGTTTGGTTGTGGGCGCGTGGAGGACTTGCCAATTGTTTTCACAAATGTTATAACAATTGTTTCAAAAATGAGAGCGCATGAATTGAGATGCAGTATTCATTCCTCTATCAAACGACATGTTGCAGCTGGGAGCAAGATAGCAGCTTTGTATCAAAATTGAGCAATAATGCAGTCTCAGGGTCTTGGTTTTGAGAGCGCCATTATTGTCAAATCCATCAAACAAAGCTATATTTTATTTTCGTCCTTCATGGGATTAAAACCGGTCTCATGCATACATGTAAGGAATGTTGGGAGCCATGAACTGCTCGACACTACGGTAAAAGGTTCACATAATTGTATGTTGAATTCGCTCCTATCTGACAAAAGATCAAGTGGCATCCCAAGTGTATGTCGTACTGCCGTCAAAGCCAGGACTGACTGCATGCATGCGGTCTTGAGACGGCCACGGCACCCCTTTGATGAGGCCTTTGGATCTCAGTATTTATATAACTTCATCATGTCATAAGCCCAGTCGTCGGCGGTCAACCACATTTTGGTAATTTCAGAACATGCTTTCATTTTTAGATTTACAAGTGGATGGTTTCACAAATTTATTGGGAAACAATCCTCTCAGACGATTTCTTCAACACGTGTGCGTCAAATCGAAACATGGAATGCGTGAATTTTAGATGATATCGACTCAGGCAATACTGCAATTATTTCCCAGACATAAGCGCTTAAAATTTGAAGAACCACAAGCAAGAATACAAGATAGTGGGCATATTCAAGACGAAAAGCTTTTGGCTCGGTTAAGCGCTGCCATTCACAGCTCTGGGCCAGAGCGTTCAATATTTGGCATTTGGATTGATAGCCGTTTGTACACATACCCTTTCCTTGGATCACTGGGGTTCAGAAGCGGACCGATTGTGCACGATTCCCTTCCGCCCTCCAACGCTCCGCACCCGTACATCGGATGCCAGTGCACCGATTTCAACGAGGCAAAATGTGAGGACGGAATGTGCAAAATCAAATCCCACTTGATCAGCGATGCATCAGCGCCATACAACCGAGACACTGGCAGTGGACACCGAGGCAAAGCAAACGGCAATTATGGCTTATCCCAGGTGCGCAAAGGTCGTTGCACGACGTGTTCAGCAATCTGGATAGGCCGTGGAGCCCGGCACGCCCAACGGTCTCCCCGGATGTCAAATGAAGCAAACTGCCCTGACCCCCGGCCCAAATCACCAAATATCGACATCAAAATTCGGGTGAAATTATAACTCTGCACTTAATTTTTTGGCTTGCTCTACGAGAACCTAGTTCTTAAATCCTGGACAGTGCGTCAATCCTTGTGTTTGCGTCTCCCAACCATTGTTTCAATATCAAACATGACCATACCTCGCTACGGTAGCCGCACCAAAGTCTTATCGTCTTCCACCACGACAGAAACTTGAATTCATCCAACTGCATAGAACGTAACAAGACCCGCCAATATACTAGACGGAGAACCATGGGAACTCAGTCCCCTGAGACATCACAAGCCGCCTGCCACGCCGCCTGCATAGCACATACCCTGCACCCTCGCACCCGCCCGCACAGCCGCTCACCTGGCTTAGGGTGGTTCCGTTTCACCTGCATCCACTTGTAGGTGGGCGCGGCGGGCGGCTGCGGGCCGCGGGCCGCGGCGCCATGCAACACACTGTTCACCTGGCACTGTTCCCGTAGTTGCTCCATGTATCCATGCACGCCCATGTGAGTCCGCGCGCCATAAGCGGCCGGGTCGATGTACGGGTACGCCTGCGGGTGCAGCGCGGCCGCATCGTGGCCGTGGTACTCGTCGTGCTTGAAGTCGGAGCGGTACGCCGGCTGCAGGTGCACGGCCATGGCCGGGTGGTAGGCGCCCGGCTGACCGGGGTACTCGTCCAGGTTGGTGTAGGTGGCCGCGTCGCCGGGGTGGTGGCCGGCCGCGCCGCCGACCGGGTCGTGGTGCGAGACGGCCGGCGCACGGCCGTCGCCCACCGGCCCCATCAGGTAGGGGTTGGCGGCCGCCTCCTGCGCCACGGACGGGTAGTAGACCATCTCGCCGGCGCCATACCCCTGCGGGTGCTGGTAGCCGGCCGAAGACTCCACGTTGCACATGCTGTAGACGCCCGAGTTCATGACGCCTGTGTGCGGTCGGCGGCTCCGAGGCGCGCGCTGCACTGCTCACTGGCGGCGGCCGGGAAAGCCGAGGCGTGCGCCGGGCGCGGCCGGCCGGCGGCGCCGTCAGCAGGTGGCGGTGAGTGGCACTGGTCGGCCGCCGTGCAACAGTCACGCGCGCAGCTGAAGCGGAGCCATCACTCGTGCCACCGGGCGCCCGCAATAATCATGCAATTATGCACCTCCACCACAGCGCGATATATCACCTTCATAAATGCACGCGCGGCCGCCGCCACCCGCTCGGCGCCGGCACCGCCGGGCCGACTGTCACGTGACAGGAGGCGGACCAATGGGAGCGCGGTGCGGCGCGGCCGTCCATCAGTGGGCGGAGTCAGTCGCGCCTGGCCGCCGCGCGCGCCATGTAAATTCGGCCGGGCGCGTACTGGGCGGGCATGAATTTCCAGGCGGCTAATAACCTGGGCCGGGGCGCTGTTCTGAGGGAGCGCCGCTCCGCCGGCGGCCGGCCAGGAACAACTGCGACCTGCAACGGCCAGAGAGCACGTGAGCGACGAGGGGAGCCGGCCGCGGCCGTCAGGGGCACGAGGCGAGGTGCAAGTCAACACGCGACGTGTGCCACAAGCGTGTGGGATGACTGAGCCGGTGCCAAAGCGGTCTGACAAAGAGACGACACCAGCGAGTGAATGATCGGAGATAGAGCCATCTGTCATCGTGGTAGACCGCGGGGATAGCTGACGCGCGTGAAATTCGCTCTGTGGCATAGTGTGGAGATAAATCGGCGATAAGGGTTGAAACGGAGGCAAAAAAGTGTAGTACGAGGTGTTTTACAGCATGATGGAAAGCTGAACACACCGCACGCGCATGAACGTGCGTGGAGATATGGCCGTTATCCATTCCTATAGTAATGCACTGACGCGTGCCACACGTCGTGCTCAATCTTGAGAACGCCGAAGGAACGTCGTGAATGGAATGGGCAATTTACGGCATCGTAAATGGATTCAATGAGGGACGCACTGAAGGGTTATATGTCGTGAGATGGCATACAGCAGATGGCGAAACCAACCATATGCATACTAACGTTGAATAATTTGCCCCTGCGCAGGGTTGCAGTTGCCTACTCAGTTAAAGAGGCTCCAGCCCCCTTCCCAGTTTGGGCCCCCCAAACTTTGAGATAAAAAGTGAGGCAAATCTAGGAAAAACCGGTTTGTTTTCGCTGTTCAGCCCGCAACTCATTTTGAACACCTACGCTTCTACTTGCGTGGTATGGAGGTCTCACTTGGCGTTTGTATCGTACTTGGTATTGTACGGCTTAGCTCTATATCTAGCTAAGCATTTCAATAGCCATGACAGGTTTCAAATCTATTTCCTCTTCTCGCTCTCGAAGAGTGCTTGAGTGTTTGACTACGAAGGTATTTTCCTCCGGCAACGTTTTGCAAACAGTTTTTGAAAATCATTTGGTGAGCGTGTTCTCACGTCACGTCAGCGAACGCGGAAATGTCTGAATCGATCGTGACGCTTCAACCTCACCCACTCGCCTCGAACCAGGCGCCTTTCATCCGCCGCCCAATCACACCCCACTATCTCCCCAAACAATGCAAGCCATCGACAATGCAACTGCAACCTCACTGCCCGCGGTCCGCCCGCATTGAACAGACGGGCCGATTTGTAAGGCGAGCGCCTTTGTGCCATGCTGTTGCGCCGCGCCGAACGCACAGCTCACAGAGGCGGCCCCTCCATCGCGCCCATCTTGGTCATTTATAACGGGCCTAACTAGCGACCAATGATGTGCCAACGAAAAACGTGATTAATGATGGCGCGCCAGCGGTGGCCAAAGAGTTGAGCTCGACATGATGCTAATTGTCGGACCACACAGGAATGCTCGCGCCGGCACAAGATGGCCGATAATGGACGAGCTTTCGGGACCCTTGCGCCAGAAAGGGAGACGAAAGCTGTCTTTGTGCGTGTCGCGGGGGGGGGGACAGACGACTGGCATTCGGCGCTGCGTCCGGCCGGGGGGATGGAGCCAGAGAGGGAGGGGGAGGGGGAGGCGCGAGCGATAAACAGCCGGGCTCGACCAAGGATTGTTGTTTACTGCGGCGCAGAGGCAGGCTGTCATGGTAACGGCGCGACTCAGGTACGGACTTGGCCTGAAAGTATTCTGAACTCAAGTTGTTTTTCTGCGTGTCGGTTATTCGGGACAGTCGGCTCAATTGTGGGATGCCTAAGTGGTATCGATTGTAGTTGCACAACTGGGATATTGCATGCCAGTGCATAAATGAATCAACATAGAGGAATCGGAACGCGTGAGTTCGTAATCAAAATGGTATTAATCGGCACGCGTTGAGTTTGTGATCAAAATGACATTCATTATGAAACCAGAGTGACTCGTTTGTTGCTTACCGATTCAGTGCAATGCGATCAGCATGGAGCGCTTTAAGGCAAAACTTGCATGATTTAGACGCGTCAAGTTCACGTCGCCTTTTAGAATGAAACTAAAACCTCAACGGTCTCCGCGTTAATCGCCATTGCCACGTGAATAAACGCTTCTAGCGTCGTTTGAAGCTTTAGGGCAGCGACTGCTAGCGCCTCTTAGATTTACATCTGAATCCATAACAGCCAATCACTCACTGGTTCATAAACCCCAGACATTTAATTCAGGGGTCGCTTCAAAGCGCACAGCTGCTCCGCTGCCGGTACAATTTTAAACCTCGGGTGTTTTCCGCCGGATACAAACGCGTGATCCCTCATCGGCCGATTCCACGTCAGCGGAGAAACGCCATCCAGGCGCCGACGTGCTGGGTATAATGTTTGCGTTCTTCGGGAGCAGATCCGCCGAAACCGCCGACAAACGCCGCCGAACGAGCGAGCCGCACCGACAAACGCTTTCATGCGGGACGGCCTTTCTATGTGGCGCCGGCGAAGGGGGCTCGTCTGGTAGGAGGGGGTGACCTGCGCGCGCTGCCCGGCCGCGGCGGTATTCTCTAATGAGACTGGTCATGATGGTCCCTAAGTAGGGTCAGAGACATTGATCGATCATGATCGAGCACCCATTGATTTCATCGGCGGCAGCGCAGGACGGTATGCGCCGGGCGGCCGCCGGCCGCCGTCCCCGAGGCGCCCGTCCCCGCCCGGCGGCGCCTTTGGCGCTGCGTGCGGGGTCGGGGGTCAGCCGCCGCTTTGAGCCGCCGCCGCGGGGCGGGGCGCGCGCGCGCACTGTCAGCTTGCCGCCGGCGTCGTCGGCCGGCCCTCGGCCCCTGGCCCCGGCCGCCGGCCGCCGGCCAGCGCCGCCGCCGCCGTCGCCCTCTCCGGCCGGCTGCCGGGATCAAATTATGTGAGAATGGATGGGCGCCGGTGCGTCGGCGCTAGGAAGACGTCGGGAGCGACGAGGCCGGATCTGCGGCCGACGCCGACCGATCGGTCAGCGGCGGCTGACAGCGCGGTGGCGGAGGCTCAGGTGCCGCGCGCCCCACTTACCGCCCCGATAGGCCCGCCGGCGGCGTCGCGCGCTGCAATCGGAACCGCCTGAAACGGGAGCCGACGCGACCACACCATCGCTGACAGCGACACGACGCCGGCGACAGCTCAATCGTCCCTTGTTGTGACGCGACCCGAGCCGTGTCAGCCCGCCGGCCGGCCCACGTCGCCCTCCGCCGGCCGGGTGTCCAGCAGGCGCGCGCCGGCCAAAGGCTGACGCGCAGCTGTCGAATTCGACGCGGTTCAGTAGGATAGAGCGAAATTCGCGTCCCGCGCGAACCGCTGCCAGTTGATGCAACACTGCGAGCATGACGTCAGTGCTCGACAGACATTTTAATGTTTCCGATGGGTACAGCGCTGCAGCGTGTTGCTGTGTGCGTTGGCCGGCCTCAGGCTGGCACACTTAAGCCAAGTGGAAGCCAGCCTTCAAGTCAAGCCTCCCCAAGAGAACGCGTCGTCCGCACATTTGAGCTCCCAAAGACGCCACACGCAACGTAGCCACGATTATCGAAACAGGTGAAATACCCGATGAGCCGCGCCTAACATAGAAGCGGTTTCTTTCTTGCCTAAGCTTGAGCGGACATGGAAGCCGAAGCGGGCTGTTAATACCGTATGGACCAACATACAAAGCCCTCAATTTGCAGAGTTTGTACAGAGGGGCTCAGCGCTCACCGCCACCGCGGGGCCACCCTTACCCGCGTCATTATCTTCGGATTAGCGGTGCCTTCAATCGGCCGCCTTTACCTGAGCCCTTTGAAGCGTCCGCTCGCCGGTGCCACTTGAAGCACACCGCCGGTGACCCCACGCGACCACAAAGGGTCCCGGAGCGGCGGCGACTTCCGTCTGGCAGGTCACCAGCACGAGGCGCCCACTAACACAGGGTTTGGTGAGGTACGCCTTTGTCTTCCCGACGTAAGCTCTCTCTTTGAGCACGTGGACCGCGACTGTCCGCTTTCTTTTTTTCGAACAGGAGCATTGAGTGAAACCGAGTTTTGGAATGGGACTTCCTGCAATCTGCGAAGTACTGCCTGCCTCACATGTGTTGTCCTAGGAGAATTGCTGCTAGTTGTTTTCAGTACAGGGTATACCTCTACGCAAAGACATTGGAAGCAACAATAAAGTGCAACATAGCATCATTAAGGCGTCTCGTGCGGTCAGGACTTTTAGGTCCCAATGCATATATTCGTGCCTTGTACACTGTTTCGGTGAGCCCGTGATTGTGTCGCACCTCGAACCGTTTCAGCAGCTTTTAGAACGCTCTGGAGCCGGAAGAGTAGAAACTCCGGTGCTCTTAGATTCATTTGAGGGATTCGGTTCGTCAAAGGACGCTTGATTGATGTTTTTGCCTATAACGAGCACAAAATTGTCATGAGTCAAAAATATTGCCATTTTCCGCATTGCCCAGACCATAGCAAAGGGAACTAAGCAACACGCCCTGTTGACAGTGCCGGTAACGCGTGTACTCCCTCTGCTCCAAAAGCACCACGATAAGATCAAAATTTGCACTGTAACGATAAAAAATAAGTTTGCTAGTTTTTGATAGTCGGAATCTCTTTTAATTGGAAGCATCCTCACCTTAAGCACGTCCTGTGGTCATTGAAAGCCCATGCAGTTCACTTGTACCCATGCAATAATGGTTTAGTTTCATGTGACATATAACGGGCTGGCCTTTCTGGCAACATCACACTTGAAGTGATCACTGGATCTTCTTTCAAAACGACCCATTTCTGGACCTGACGGCTGTCAAGAGCTGCAGCTGTTCACTGGAGCTTGTTTGAAAGCGCTCACACTTTGCGATGGCCTCCAGCCCTAAATGGTAGACCTGAGGATGTCTCCTAACTTTTCAGCGATTCTAGAGCCACATCTGTTAAGCTGAGCGCTCACTTACTTTTGCATTAATCGGAGCTTTTCAGGCATGGAAGCGCCGGCGGGACGAACACGTGGGACATGCCCCGAAGTAATACTGCAAATCGGGCAGACGGTACGATGTTCCATAGAAATAACTGGTGTAGAATGTACTGACCTTAGTTATCAGCCCGTGGCGGTGTTCCTGTTTTAAAACCTATCATCTTACCGGTGACGGCCACCAAAGAGCGTCGCAAAGCAGAGTACACTGAAATGGGAATGACAGGGATTGGCAGGCTTTCCGAGGTTTTACTTGCCATTGGCGACATGACTTGTCGGTAGTCGATGGATCAGGGTTAGACACATCGGGAAGAGGTCGTCGTTTCCCTCTCTCCATCATCACGCTCACGTTCCTGGCTATGGCTCGAATCGCGGGTACCAGCTAGAGTGAATAGGGAGGTCTGAAGGCATTTGGCGATCATTGGATAACCATTGACTCCGACGTTATATCAAACAGCAAAATATCCCACAGCCATCGAAAGCAAACACAATGTTGTTCTGCCTTGTGCAACATCTCCTCAAAGCCCACGGTATGATCTCTGACATTCAGTTCTTTTATTTCCTGCACAAAATCACTTTCAGCAAGATAAGAGTAATTACGATTCGTCCCCTCCCCCCCCCCCTTCAACCTATAGAAAATTCATGAGATCTCAATAGCTATCTGACGATCACAGGCAATTTGGAAACGCACGTGGTACCCATACAAAATCGTAGATCGGTGCGATGTCAGCTGAGACTAAAAACAGTTGCAGAGTCTGACGATCTGTTTATGGTACGTTGACTTCGATTCGTGGATACGGTGTTGTCCTTCCAAGCTGGTGTAAATTAATCTTGCTGTTGATTAATGCAGTTACCAGTTATCCATCCAATCGGCGCATTTACTCTCTCCTGTCCGTCGAGATATAGAGCTCCACGTCGATATTCTGTTTCCCGCAAATGGAGTCAGATCCAGATCGGTTCGTTTCCCTGCAGGCTTCGTGCATGCCCGTATCTCCCTTGACCCGAGGCTGTACTGTCTGCTGGCGTGTCAGTCAATCCCGGGGCTTTTTAAAAGTACCCCATCGGTTCGCAGGTACAGAACATCAGATACAATCAGCCAAGTTCAGAAGCTCGGACCAAGTGGTCAGAAGGGCGAGCGAATTTAATTTTCATGTAGAGTCTGGCATTATCTCGTCGAATTCTGCGACTTTCTTTCTCCATTTCTTTTTTCCTGTTGCTAGAGATACCCGGAACGGCTAGAGTCAAGGTGCGCTTGCTGTTTTTCTCAACCCGCAGCAACTTATTCAACAGGATCTGATTCTCACGATCGATCTGCCTGGTCTGCTCCTTGGTAAACGTGGCGTTCCTCCTTGCCTTCCTCTTTGCTGTTTCCTCTGCTCGTTCCTTCCGCTCGAGTTCAGACATTACACAGCGGAGGAACCCACATGCTTCTTTTTTATCAGTGCCATTTTCCCTATCGCTCAACATTTTCGTGGCATTGTGAGTGTTTATGTTAAACTTTGGATACGATTGGCCCACAATGCGCTTGGAAACGCCTTGTGAATTGTCCGATTCACTGTTGGTCTCCGCTGAATAATTCGATTCGTTTGAAGGGGTCTCTAAGATGTTACTAAGTGAGCTACTGGATGCAATGCTTCCGAATTCGTCTCCAACATTGAATGCACCACCACTCTTTGAGCTGTTTCCGCGCGATTTTGTTGATGACAGAGTTGGTGTGGAAGAAACAGGCCGTTTCGAAATCTTGATACCATTTGTTGAAAGACTCAAGTTGCTCATTTGGTGTTGCAGAGCCAAAGTAACTGCGTCCACAGATTTCGGTCTGTTGTATCCTTTCCCCACGATACTGGGAACTCGTTTCTCCACGCCCGACTCTTTTTTACTCTTTCTTACCATGCGCATTGTGCCTAGCTGTCCCGTGACCCCTCTGAAATTCGGCCATTGTATTTGCTGCATTTTGGTTTCCCGAAAGAAGTTGCGAGACTTGGAAAATCCTGCAGGACACGACGTAACAACCATTCAATGAGTGATTGTTTGAGTAGAAAAACACACTGCTGTACTCATCATTACGCTCGGTCGAATATAATGACCATAAACAAGAGGTCGGAAATACTTTCCAGGGTATTCAACGCGTTCTTCTTTGTTATGACATTGAGAACATTTCACCAGCTATTGACCTGGAACTTCAATAGACGTTACAAAAATTGAGAATATCTGATTCTCAGAATTATTCTACACTGCGCCTTCTGGTATGACAGTGGATCATTGATTTCGGACATTATCACGTGACACAATTCTGCATATACTTCTTGAAATATGGTCAGCAGGCCTAAGCATTAATTGGGTGCAGAATAAAAACATTATCACTTGATAAGATGACAATAATATGACAGGCATAGCTAAAACAAAATGATAGAGCAATAAATCATCGTCGGAGAATAATCCATTCTTATATTTTGTCTTCGCCTCCCTCCACCAAATAACCTAACGTCGTTTCCAAGTCCGTCTCTGGAAAGTCATACGCACCATACATACCTATGCATAATCAATCTTGATACAATTAACTGTGTTATAAATGCCTTTAATCCAACATCGGTCCGGTACAATGAAAGGACTGCGGAAGGCACCTTAAACAGTTCACGATTCGTCCTGACGTGTCTCTCAAAAACCCTGATGGGTTCGCGACTGAATAATGCAGACTGCTTAAATTTTAAATGAACATGTCGGATCCAATTTGCTAGCCAGGTCACAAGTTTTTTTAAAGTCTCAGATAGCTGTCAAAATACAAACAACCGCCAAAAAACGAGAAAGATTATATGTTACCGGCATAATTATAATATAAAGCCGCCAGGTCTATCATCGCTTCCAGTTCAAGTGCTAGTGAAAGCCTTAATTAAAACCAGCAAAAATTTACGCAATCACGCTAGCCAATACAAACTCGGTGCCAATCACTCACAGGTCTGGCTCACCAGTCATTAAAGCACTGTCCTAGAAGTTTTGAACCCTTGAACCGAAGTCATAACTACCCCTCCGAGTTCGGTTTTGCACGCTGCCATCGACCTCCCGGTGCAAAGCACTGGCTTCCGACGTGATCATCGGCCGGTTGGAACCGCGGCCGCCAACGTCCAAACGGTCCGTTTCCAGTAACTGCGGGCCTCCGACGCGTCACGCAGGTCTTTCAACGCCACCACCGCCCACTCTCTGACCCGGCGTCCAGCAGCGTCCACCGGCCACCTTCGTCGTCGGCCTTCGACGCCGACACTGACTCCTCTTGGAACCAGACGTCTGACGCTGCCGTCCTGCGACCTAACCTTCGCGCGTCGTCGGTCCCACTGGGCCCAAACCCACGCCACTGGTCCCCACCGGGGTCCCCCGATCGATGGTCCAAGCCGGGGTCTGCGGTCGATGGTCGCGACGCGGTCGTCAGGTCTTTTGGTCTCTGGCACAGCGTTCGTCTGTCTTGTAACTACACTGATAACCATATCTTTTATTCCCGTTCCAGGGTGTAAAGTAGATATGCAGACGCTTCGGCGTCAAGCAAATCCACAACTGCAGCAGCATGTTTGTGCAACTGCCTTCCACAGCGCGCAGGTTGGAGCCAACAGGTTGCTGAGTTACGATGGTGTAAAGCACGAACGCTTGGCAAAAAAAAGAAAACGAAACCATGGGGTGAAGGCACGTCATAACAGTTAACTTACGTCTTCTGCTATATTGGTTCAGTGCCAACGTCTTCAGTCCAGGACGAATAATTTGACACCTGAATGAGGCAATCGTGACCAAGTTTTGACGCAGTATTTTACTATACGGGGAAAGAGGGCAAATAGTCACGCAGAGAACAATAACCAAAGTCTCAATAAAAAAAGCCAAAAGATGTAATAAGGCAGGATGAAGCAAGACACCGCTAGGAGTTTGGTAATTTTTATTTACATAACTAGCTTAGCCTTGTGCTAAATCGAGTTTAACACAGGGCCGATGTTAGCTTTTCTCAAAGTTGGGCGATCCGCTGACTCCACTACCGAGTTCCATTAACTAATGCTGCCTGTTACTACGCCGATGTTAAGCTGAGGGACCGTAGGGAGAGACGTATCAGCTTTTACTATGGGCACTCTCCTGCTATAACTACTGAGGAAAGGACTACAATGTTGATGTCTGCTGACACCTAGAGCCTTCGGAGCCACCCGCGGTGGTAAAGCTTGAAGAGGACGTCCTCGCTTTTTGATAAATGACTTCTGAATGAACCCCTTTAAACTGAGGACAACCTGTCCCACCCCGAAGTCAAGTATACTATATGGTGGGGGAGGTGGCGCTTGTGTTTCTCCCATAGTTTTAGTTGTATCGCAAGCGAGCTGAATGCGTTACGACTTGTACGCCAAAGGTGTTTGTCAGTGCTATTTCGCATTACGTTGTAATTGCGAACTTAAAATTTATAACCTTTCGATCAGTCAGTGAACGCTTTGCGACTACTGCCACTTTTGTTTCCGCTGTCCATGTGGAAATCTGGATTTGCATAGGTCATATAAATATCGACATGTTGTCTAGGTGTCAATTAGTCATGGCGATCATGTCAGCAAATCACTGGCAGTGAGTAAGTCATCAACATATTGTTGGTACATTGTATCAATGACACAACATGCCCCATGCACAGCTGATACAATACGTGCCATCCGACATCTTGGAAGAAAACTGGCGTCACCCTGAAATCCTTGGCTAGCAGATGTCAAATGCGTTACAGTGTGTACGACGCATGTACTTCCCTATCAGCAAAACATTCACATTGGTCTAGTCATTCCGCAAGCCTCTTAAGCACAAATTTGCACCGATCAATATAGTTTTCAAGGATATGAGAAAGAAGATTTGTTGCGCTCCCACCAAGACACACGGACGTTTATGGCCGAAAGTACACTGAAATATGTAAATGGCTCCCGTGTGTCGGCTGAGGGACCCAAGACTGCCCTCCGTCTCATAAATTCGGAAAAATCCCCCTGATACTACCTGGGCATGATGCGATTCACCCCAATCTCACCTACATCCAACTGAAGGCATGATACTGGATGGTAGCCTTCCCTCTCTACTACTTTCCATTACAGGGAACATGATGCACGTCGTCGCGAATACATTTATGGAGCGGCCACGAGTGTCATGACCAAATTAGCAAACAACCGGGATTTGAACCTTCATTCCCTCCCCCTCACATGTAAACGCCGAAGGTGTTAACCACTCGGTTATTGCCTCCCTGCTCCTTCGCCTCCACCTTCGCACAAACGCCTTGCAGCGCATGGGACTAGGCTGTGGTCTCCTTCGGTAGGTGGCTCTACCACACGATGTATATTTAAGCATGCGGACACACACGGAGGCTCCGAACGTGTCATTGGGCAAACAGCCGGTTTCAGCACGGAAAGAATATGCGCCCATAACCATATGGATGCCAAAGGCTCAAATGCAACTCTCAAAGCGGGACTTTGCAGACATAATGCAGTGCAAGGGTCAGACACATCAAAAAGGCACAATGCGACCCGCTTGATGACGCAACTGGCTGCGTTTATAGGCTCAAGGTATTTGTCGGTGCACCCATTCTCAATAGAAGCCGCCACTTAAATGGAAATAAAATAAAACCGCGTCTTATATTACGAAGTATTGGTTAAAGGGAGTGCCATACCTTTTGGGAGTTTTCACTTATCGTTGCATCAGACGCGCACGATTTGATCAAAATGCCAGCTTTCTCGAGATATTTCTGGAAAGCTCAGAATGTCGATTTGAAGTAGCCGACCCTGCGGAAGAAATCTAACCTGACTCCCTTCTTTTCTAATTTGACCGTAACTGTGAACGTAATGCACTTTATTTGCCTTGCTTTTTCCGAAGTGGTTGCAACACACTAATCTGTCAAAATGTATGTGTAATAAATGTAACGAAACCTTGAAACTCTCTGTTTAGACTAAAAGATATGCGAACATGAAGCTATTATCCCACGAATTCAACGAAGCATCCTAGTTTGGCTTTGGTTGTTTCTCCCTCTACTACGCCTACCACGATGGCTCTTTCCGAGGCGCACGTTGACTTTTGAAATGAGAGCATCACATGATCCATGTGACTCACTGGTTCAAACTTCTGGCCTACCCCTCCCCGCCTTCTCCTCAACTTGGGCTTGAGTCCTGATTTTGGAAAAAGTGGATCAAAACCGGCGACATAAACACAAAAAAACACATACCAGAGTGATCTGTCATGTCATGGGAGGGTCACCAACATTGTTCTCAAGTAGTCGCAGGCACCCGGAGGCCGCTAATGCACCAGCGGTCTCTCGCTACATGCGTCTGTAGCCCCGGCGACACAGGGTCCTGCTAACACCCCGGAGGACGTCTCGCGCCACGGCGGTCCTCCGAGTCCCGGCACCTCGACAGTCGGCGCGGGCCCTCGGCGCCGCCGTGTTTGCTCTCCAGCCGCCTCCAGAGCGTGTCGACTTCAAATGAGCCGTGGATGCTGAGCAAACGGCACGATTTTCGGCGGCTGTTTTGAACCGGGATAAAACAACCGAAGCGGCCGTTTGCGGAGGCCGATCGGATGACTGACGCGTGTTTGCCAGCGGGGCAAACAGTGGCGAACAGCCGGCATATTAACCCTCCTGCGGCGACGGCTGAATGCGTGGATGCTGGACGTGCAGCTGGTTGAGGAGAGGAAAGGTATTGGGATATTGGAGACTATCTACACCGGAGTGAAGGAATGGCACAGCTTCTAAACGAGCTAAATTTGACAAGGGACGTTAATGGCTGGGCATGACATAACCGTGACATTACATGGCACCCATGAGCCGTGAGCCCTATGACAACACATACGGCCCTCGTCAGCCCCCACGTCTTTGATATTGGAGGGGACGGATCACGATAGAATGGGGCAAACTGAAATCTGGAGCGGCGAACTGAACTAAAGATGACACTTTAAATAAGTGAATGCGAAAACGTGCATTAGGCCAGCAAACTTTGCGGGGACGAAATCTCTAATAAAGTGAAACTTGAGGGGACATGTTCCCCGAGCAGGAAAGACCCTCCCCTAGGACCCTATGACGGGACGTGATTCTACCCTTGGCACACAAAAGTGGCGTTTTATGCGGACGAATCGCAAGCAACTAGTAAGATCACTCTGCAGCGTGAACATCAACCTGGACAAAGCTAACATTAAGTAATTAAATTATCGTAACCGTTTAACACCGACAGACTTGGCAGGGAGGCAAGATTTGGACAGTTCACCACTTCTGAGATGGATTATTGCCTGGGGTTGTGTACCGTAACTGGCGACATCACCGCTAATCAACTGGTTGTTCCACACCGAAGCGCGGTCCGGCTGATCCTGCGCTTCGAACACGCTGGCGGTTTTGCCAGCAGCCAGCCCGGCGACCGACAATTCACGTCGCCCTCTCCAGACCACGCTTCCTGGCACTGACCTGACCCCTGGCGACCTGCAGACCTCGCCAAGGTGACCCGCGCGCGCCGGTGGCCGCGGGCAGCCTCCCTCGCCGTCACCCCACAACAAAAGCAGCCCAGGACCGCGGTCTAACGTGCCTCGCCCCGTCCCCTGTCGCGGTCATGACGAGCCGTACAGCCTCTGCGTGCTACCACCGCGCGCGCCGCGGCGGCCACCCGCCGGCCGCGCAGCGCGCACCGCTGCCAGAGGCCGTACCCGGTCGGTGTGGGTGCCAGGCGGTGGCACCGGAGCACGTGGTAATCAGTCGGACTGGTGACACGTCACACAATTAGATGTGCCCAGATTACTGGCACCAGTTGTACGCCCGATTACGCGCCGTACATGGAGAGGTGTCGGCGACCGTCGGCAGGCCGGCGCGGCGATGGGGGGTCCGCGAGCGACCGCAGGGTGCGTTACGACGGACACGTGTGGACACGAGTGGTTGTTAATTTTAAAGTGGTGTGTATTTATAGGGGCTGGGTGTTGGCAAGCAAGCTCCATTGTAGCGTTAGCAAGCTGGAAGCATGCATAGCGTGTAATCTGCCTCCGGAATTATACATCAATAAACCGTGAATCAGCAGCCGTCAGCCGATACAGACATTAATGTGTCACACTCTATACCGTAAAAAGAACGGTCCACATCAAACAATGCTATTTCCTTCTTCGCATAACCTAAGTGAAACGCTATATTGCCACTCTAGTGAATTCGAATGACGCGAATCGATAAGAAGTCCACTGGGGCACGCCAAACGGACGGCAAAAAGTTCTGCTGAATAGGATGTCATTTGCACCGCAGGGGGCCAAGGAGAGTTTTTGTTGCTCGAGGTCGCAGTTGGATTTTGTACGACACAACGCCCATATACTGAGATTTAAGCCAACATAAAAGAGAAGTAGATGCGCACTCGAATGAACTATATCGTGACGTCACAAACATCAGGCGTCTTTCCGTCTTGGCCTGGCTTAGGCAGCACTAGTTCACGTGGAACAATGAAAAGTCGAGGCTTCGGAACCAATTTATCGCCATCCACAAGACAGGATATGCCATGCTGGCCAGTGGCTCTCAAACCATGGGAACTACCTTGATTTGAAGACATCTCCAGCTTTCCTGATGGACCAAATCCCGTTTTAAACGGACAACGTGCACGATTTAAACTGAAACCCGGAATACTCGACAATTATAGCCTCGAAGCTGTCGCATGAGCCTAATTGTATTTTTCAATTAAAATGCCATCAATAACGGGCCGGCAAGTCGGACGCGGATTGTGCTGTCGACATCCATGGCGCACATGTTACGGCGATGGCGCACCGGAATTCAATCAGGCGCACCGGTGCCTCACAAACTCCTGCTCACTGAAATGTATCGTATTATACCTGGCAATTATTGCTGCTAAGAGAGACGCATGGCACTAGATTACTGAGACGCACCGGGCAAATAACACACGCCGCTCACGGAGATTGTTTGATACCAAACGCCAGGTCCTGGACGCTGTAGAACGACATGTATCTATAATCCATCACCGTAATAATTTAATGAGTGCGCTAATTATCACCTTCATCGGGCGCCGACCACCGGGTGACGACCGTCCGACAGCCATAATTCAGCCAGCTGACCGCCGGCCAGTGGCCAATGGCCGTGGCCGTAGCGTTCCGGTCCGGGCTTGAGACAGTCGTGGGCAAATGTTCCTGTTATCTGGGGCCACCGGAACGAAGGGGCTCCTCCAGCAAACAAACACCAGGGATGGGTAGCGAAGACGCATCGGCTTTGTCTCAGGTGTAAACGGGAGGGGTCGTTTGAAAAGCCTCCCACTTTTTCGTTAAGTTCGGCTTGTGTTTTGGTTCTGACGCCCTCAGCATTTTGCACGAATTATAAGCTTTTGCATGGGCTGTGGTTGATCTCATTGCCAAGTTTGTTTTTCGCGAAATGACCATGACTAGACGGAGTGCTTGGATAGCGTTGGAACAGTTTGGATGGCTGGCTCTGGTTAAGCTGGCTCAGACGACGTTCTCTGTATGTGGTGCTACACATAATATTCAACATTTCACAGTAAACGTTAAGTCAGTGGTTACGTTGAGGAGATTCCCGGACAAATACACAATTGGTGTGTCAGCTCGCTTGGGTTATTCTTCTTGATCTGACTAGGACCAGTTAGACTGGCAAGGACATTCAATTTGAAAAAGTTGCTTTACTGGCTTCCACCTTTCTTTTCTTTTTAGAAGCTAGTAGGAACAACTAGCCGCAAGTCTAGAGCCCTTCAGACACAATTTTTAAAATAAAGAAGCTCTTGCGTTTACATACAACAATTCGGTGCGCATTTACAGTGCAGCAGTATGATACTGGTACGGATAACAATTATGGCGGCTTCAAAAAAACTAAACAGTTCCAACGACAAGGGAGCTGTGGGCAATTTCAGCACAGGCGAGTCGCGTTACATCATCAATACATATGTATTGGCTCATTTCCTCATCACGATATCGAATCTGGTCACGGATGCCCCCTGTGTGCGTCGTGTGGGTACGTGACATTTGGCGAAAGCCTGCGATAAGTCATAGGCAGGACAACTGAAATATTTTTCGCATGTGGCTTTTGTTTCGTATAAGGTTTTGGCGCAACTCCGGTTTTTTAAAACTCAGCACTCGAGCTAAGAGGCAATGGGAGTGTCGAAATCCAACCGAACTAGCGAAGTAGACGCAGCGATGCACGCTCAGTGACTTCTGGCCACGATTCGCCCCTATGGGGCAACTCGGCCTGTGTTTCACAGGATAGATCATCATCCACTTACCGAAGTATGCCCCCACTTGTGAAGCTGCGGCACCTCCACAGACACCGGCGGCCTCGCGTCGAACCGCGACGCGCCGCGCCACGCGCGTCACGACCGCCGCGAGTCGGCCGGCGTGAGTCACGCTCGCCACACGCGCGCCACTCGCGGGGACGCGGCGACACCTCCGGGTCGCGCCACGGCCGCCGCGACAGTGCGACAAACACGACAAACGCGGCCGTCCCGGCGGCGGTAACCGTATGGTGCGCATGCATTATAGACGAGCGGTGGGAATTGGCGACGCAGGGCCATTGGCGCGCGTGCCGTCTGGCCTCCGCACAGAGTTGCAGCATTGGCGGCGGTTGACGCATGGCCGCGGTAACGCCGTCTGGCAGCGGCCGTGAGTGCGCGCCCCGGCGCATAATTAAGCCGGCGCCTCACCGTGACCGCGCGCTCGAACTCGGGCGAGACCGGCCTGGGAGCGGAGGCGCGCCGGCGCGGCGGCGGCCGAGCTCCGTCGATCCCGCGACGCGGCTGCGCGGGGTTACGCGGATAAACACGCGTAATTGGCGCGGTCCGCAGCGCCGGGAGCGGGACGCCGACGCAGTTGTCGAGCGCCGCTCCGCAGCTATGCAAATTAACAAAATGTGGAAATGTTCGGTCGAAGCGGCCCGGCTAAAAATGTAATTACGGTGGGAGATTTAAATAATCAGTCGCGGATGATGGATGAGCACCGCGGCTGTGTTTTTGGGAACGGCGTCTTGCCTTCCTGTGGCGAACGAAACAGCATACATGTGGGGACCGATATGCATATCGCCATGTTATGTGTGTCGTTGGAGTACAGGAGAAAGGAAAGCAGCCATGCGGTGCGTATGCTCATTTTGTTCATCTGCGCTGATGACTGGACATGACAAAAGCATGTTTCGCTTTGAAGCTAAGGCTATCTAAGCGCCGGTCCACGTTCGAAGTCTCTCCTCAGTTCGCATGCTCTTGAAATAGCAAAGAATGTATGTCCGCCATGCCGCACCAAGCAAGAGAGAAGAGACCAAAGATTGCATATTTGGACAATAGCCACGCTTCGAACGCGGATCCGTACTGGATCCATCGTTGGACCTGCCTGACCCAGCCATATCCTGCAGCGTGGTCCAGCGTCCAGCGTGGCTATGTGGTCACACACTGTTCCCACCACACTCCTGCACTGGTCCGCACAAGTAGTGTGCATCGGTCCCTCTGTGGGCCAGCATTTTCTCTTGGTGGTCCAGCATTTGCCTCCTCTATGCTCCCTTCGCAAACCGGACTCGGCGGAAGGTACACTTTGAGGTTTCATGGACGAAGAAGAGTTATTGCGACAGAACCAGAAAAAAGCTTCCTGAACGACGACATAAGGTTCCCGTGTGCTCCTTATGTGCTCCTTCCGAGGTCGGCCACCTTTTCGGCCGGCCAGCGGCAGTCCGAGTCCAGACGGGACCATCGCCGCAGCGGGGTCCAGCCGAGTTCACCGTTGCGGCGGAGTCCAGCCGGGTCTACTGTTGCGGCGGAGTCCAGGCGGGTCCACTGCTGTGGCGGAGTCCAGCTGGGTCTACTGCTGTGACGGAACCCAGGCGGGTCCACTGCTGTGGCAGAATCCAGCCGAGTCCACCGCTGCGGCGGAGTCCGGCCGAGCCCACTGCTGCGACGTCGGCTGTCGTAGCTAGGCCGTCAGATCAGCCGTCATACCGACCAGCATCAGCAGCGCGCTCCGCTCCGGCACACGGGTGGGCAGCTGCCTAGCTGCATGGTTCAAGCAGCAGAAACCGGCGTCGGGCCCGCCTCCAGCATGGCTGCGGCGAGGGAAACGGGCTTCAGCCGTGCTTTATCACTCTCACACTGCGTGAGCGCTTCACTCGGCGGGGGGACGGGGCTTCCTTGAAAGCATCAGAGTGGGGGCTGGCTCAAATTAGGAATTGATGAAAGTTATTGCTGTACAATACCCATAGTTCTTGCTCAAAGTTTAGGGGCGCTCAGGCTCGATTTTTGGTTAGAGCGAACACACCAATTCTAACCAATTCCTACCTGTGATGTTGCAAGTCTTGACGGCGGGTATCCCCTCCCGCTGGACGACCTCGGACTCGAACATCGTGACGAACGCGACGACGAACGCGATCGGCGCTGAACGAACGCTGCAGAACGCGAGAGACTTCCTTTTGTCCCCCAATCGTGTTCCGATGCCCAGGGCTTTTTCGCCAGATCACTAAAGCGGTCAGTCTGGAATAAATGCATCTGGCCCTGTTCGGTTAGCCTTTCCCCAGTATGGGATTGGGTATTTTCCGCAGCATGGTATTGGGACAACAACAGTGCCAGCTGCATTGTAAGCAGAAAAAAGGATGTCTCTTTAATCGATAAGCCCCTTGTTCACCTGTGATCGCAACTGCGCAGAGTCGCGCAAAGGCACACAAAGTCCTCTTTAAAACTCTTCTCAGCTCGCCTTATGTGCAATCCTTTGGGGAACCCATGAGCATCATCTCTGATTATGACTGCAGGTCGAATACGCAAAATCCATAGTCCGGTAAATCGTACGCGGAAGGGTTGAATAAAAAAGATTCGTTGACGGATGTTCACTCATTCAGAAAAAAGTCGGCTTTCCATTTTAGCCCCGTGTTGTGGCCGACCGTGCCGAAACGTGTGCAGCTAATGTTGTGTAGTGATCTGCTGATGTTAACAAGACGCACGAAGAGATCCTCACCAGACGAGTGTCTGCGCCAGGCGGTCTGGGCCAGACCGCTGCCAGCGCCAGATGCTAGCCAGCACCCTTCCTCTTCACCTGCGCTTCGTAACAGGCTCAGCCCCCGGCGCCAGCCCGGCCACTTGGCAATAAGCGGACCGGTCGGCCGGGGCCGATCCATTACTCCGTATTAGCAGACAACCTGCGCCCGGGCGCAGCACATGGCACCCGCCGCCGCCGCCGCCGCTGCCCGGCACCGCCCGGCACGCAGGCAGCACGCGATCCGCGCGCGCCGAGGTGCGCAATTCGAGCGGATTTGCATGCGTTTCCTGACGTAATCACGGAGCCGGCCGGCGGGCCGGGCGGTCAGATCAATCGGCGCGCGCGCTCGACAGTAATAGCGCAGATTATCTGGGTCATTACGGTGCGATGTCGCCGGTCACGAGAACCCGGCCGCGGCGCGCCCCACCCGCCCCGCGCGGGGGGAGAGACGCGGGCGTGTTGGCGCAGGGTGCGGCGCGCTCGATGACTTTCGCTGTCGTCGTGGTTTGGTCGGCTGGGGCTCGATTGTACTGTCTGCGTCCTCGAATGTCGCAGGCGGCGCTAAGCGGAATGTTGTGATGTGACCTAGAGACCGGGGCGCATGCGACAGTGAGTCATTACGGTTATGAGTCATGCGCCAGTAGTAATCTATTCTATTTATTACGTATTACGCAATGCTTGCCTGGGGGAAGGCGTCTTCGTGGAGGCATATGTACGTTTGTGTGCGTGTCCGTCCTTGGCGACCAAGTGGGACAGACTTAGAAATGTTCCCTGCAGCTGCATTCGCTTGAACCATACCAGACATCGGTCGGTTAATTATTTATCCGTCACGGTGTCGCGGTCTGAGGGTTCGCACAGTTATCAGGTCGCCTTAGTTATTCACCGCCGTGAGCTTGTGGCGACGGGTCACGGAGGAACGCCACCTGTCATAAAATGCCATCGCTTCCGTGACAGCTCTGCGAGAATGGCCATCTGCTGCGACGGAAAACATGCACAAGGTCTGCATTTGGATGGTTCGGTACGCATGTTTTGTTATGCGGCACTGTTTCAGTCGTTCTCATGTGTGTTGATTTCATCTGGAGTACTCTCAAACAAAAACATCTGTTGCAATAATCTGACTGCGACTAACACGGACGCGTCCCTGAGTGTGCTTGGCTTCATGGAAGACTTCGTTGAAGGATGCCTCCTTCACCACTGGACGTCCGTGCTTAGCGGTTCAACTGAAGCACTCGTTGGCGGCTTCACAGATGAGAGTGACGACGACGAACGAACGGCCAACCACCAGCCTCCGAGCATTTCAATGAGTTGCACACCGTCATTGAAGCCAGCCGGGCCAGCCGGCAGAAACGCTGCCATCGAACGCAAGATGGCGCCTCCCGAAACGCACCTCCACCTCTCCAGCCCTGACCCCATGTCGACAGCAATCGAGACACCCGATGGAGACGTCCACCGGCGGCCCTGGGGGAAGGGGGAGGGGAGGGGTCCCGCGGGGCGCCGCCGCTGTTCGGCGGTGACACGAGGCGACGTTGGACCGCTGGTCAGTCCAACAAAGCGCCGCGTGACGGGCGGACAGCGGCGTGACGGCCGGGCGGCGGCCGGGCGACAGCACAATACGCCGCGCAGGCCGGCCGGCTCCCTGCCGCGCGCCGGTCATCTCACCCGAGCCCTCCCCTCTCCCCCTCCCCTCCCCCGGCGACACGGGCTCTGTCGCGGGGCGGGAAGAAGGCCGGCTCAAAGTTTTTGCATGGTAAAGAAGTTGATATGCAGGAAAACCTGGTTTCGGGTGGCACCGGTCGCTTTGGATTTGTCGGTGTGAGTATGTACTAGTGGCTGCGATGACGTCAGCTTCCACACAAGTCAGCACATGTGAGAAGCGCATGGCCAAGATTGTAATGTTCGAGTGAGACATTACCTCTCTCGGATCACAACACGCACCAATCGCAAAAACACATTTGCGCAACTGGTTGCGAACGTTTTGTCTTCCTCAGAACAAGCTTTTTAAGGCAAGCAGCGACCACCGCCTGTGGTTCGGCGCGGATTTGATACAGACACTCACCAATCTAATCCTAATGACGCGCAGAAAAACCGCCCCTGACCGACCAGGCTGTGACGGCAGCCAGATTAGGCACCCTTTAACAGGCAAATTGAATGCGCCCGGCGAATACAAATTGGATTTAACTGCTATCGCGATCCATTATCTCCAGCGAACTAGACCGGCTGGAAAACCTTCCGAGTCGCGACGGCCGATCACTCGCGATACGACCCGGCGCTGCGGTTTCGAACGTGGCGCGGCCTTGGCGCGCGACTCGGCGCGTCGCCCGCCGCGGCGCGAGCGCGCCGCGCCGGACCATGTCCGACCGGCGCGTC